ATCTGTGAGGACTCTGTGATTCCCTAAAGAACTGTGTTGAAAAGGATTCTGAGGTTCCTCCTAGGATCAGTGGTCTAGTGGTTAATCCCAGACCCAGTCTATGGCAGTATCTCCAGGCAAGGTCTCAAGGAGAATGTAGTCTTCCTCATCTCATGAAGTTCATCTGGACTTTGACCTCAGTTTACTTACTCAGCATGCCAATTCTCCCAACACCCATTCAAGCCTCCCCCAAAGATGAGATCCTATTTTCTATACTCCCAAATATTTGAAGGAATCTTAATGTGAACCAGCTAATATACAAGGACATCAATAGCCATCTGGCTCTGGGTATTTTCTACTGTATCATTTCTTGCTGTAGCACCTGCCTGCCAGATTAGCCCTCTATTGGACGGTGATTCCTGTCTTAATGGAGCCTGAACCCATCACAAGTCTCACATGCTGTCTGCAGGAGTGCTGCCTGCCCACAGGAGCTGATCCTTCAATCAGGTCCATTTCTCCAGCCCCCTGCCCCACCCAATCCCCTGATTCTTTCCCTTCCTCACCAGTTGATGTTGAGGATCCAGAAGGCCTGTCCCAAGCCAATCTGCAATATCACCAAATAAAATGCACTCTCCCTGACTCTAAACCCAAGTCCACATATAGGAAGAAAAACCATGCTAATCCCTGTTTCTCTCATGTTTTCCAGTGGAACACAGGGCTTAGTGCTCCAGGAAACCCACAAAACAAATCTAATTCCTCTTTCATATGATAGCCCTTCACATCTTGGACACAGCTATCATGTCCTCCATGAATAACCCTTTCAAGCACAAATTACAAGCACTGTAAATACCCAAATTGTCACAAGTGCAATTCATGCTGCTTAGCTCTGCACAGGCCTAAAGCAATCAGCAGTTCCTTTGCGATACTCCCCAAAACTACTGCCTCAAATCAGCTTTCACCCTTGCACAGTGCCCACCCCTACACCACACATACCTGCCTCCACTGCCACCCATCCAGAGTGGAACCATTGCCTTTAATACCCATTCCTAGAAGGGAAGATCGTTTTGTGTTTTGGCCCCAGATATTTCCACACTGTGACTTCTGGTAGAAATTATTTCTGTGCAATTACCTCCATTACAGTCTCAGCTGGTTGGCCTCCTGGTTCAGACCTGTGTTTCTCTCAGTCTTTGATCTTCTGTGTGGCATTGAGCCTTACTCAATAATTTTGTTCATGGAATGCTGGTCCACTTTATTTTTTTTTTATTTGACATTGGGAGATCTTCAGGCCTCTGTCTTCCGCTTTTGTCCCTGTTTTTTTCCTCAAAAGGACTCATTTCTATTTTCCAGCACCTTTTAACCCCAACTGAAAGTCTCCCTTCTCTTTACCCCCACTTCCCAATCTCATCTTTTGCTCTAGGCTAATTATTTTTCTTTTACGGACTAGCCCCATCCCAAGGGTCACAGATATACATGCAAGGTAACTGCCATTGCCTTTCACTGGTCATGACTTTTTATTACCTTCAGCCTGTTTTGATCAGGGAATGACCCCATTTTCAGAGAACACACTACAGGTTATGTGAAAATCAAAGCTTGCTGCTGGCTGTATCAATGGTTTCCGTTTTCCCCATCTCTGCTGAGAAGCCATGTTGCCACACTGACTTGGGCACCATTGAATGGGAAATAGCTACTGCTAACAGTGTGGACAGAAACCAATGGTCCACGTTTCCATGTCTTCATCTTCCTGTTGTCTTCTTTCTCCAGTTACCACTCTCAGCTCCTGGATGTAATCTCAGCATGAGCATCTTCAAAAAACCTTTCAAAATATTTGTCCAGATCTCTTCCACATGGTCGCTGCTGCCATATCTCTAGGGATTGCTGAGAGATTCCAGCACATTTTATGAGTACTACACCAGTATCAATGGATGGCAGAAAATGGGCCTTGCCATCACTGCAGTTAAGAGTGTGGTGTTGCAGAAAGCAGACATCAACCTCACCAAGAGGATAGGAGAGTTCACTGAGGATGAGATGGAATACACGACCACCGTTATGCAGAATCCATGCCAGTACAAGATAAGATTCTAGTCTGGTTCTTGAACAGACAGAAGGACATGAAGGATGGACAAGATAGCCAGGTTCTGGGGTCTTTGTTCAAAGCCAGCACACCAAGTCCACAGGCCACTGGGGTCACACTATGGGTGCGGCCAAGAGGAAATGATCTGTAAGCCTTTTCGGTTAATAAATAGTTTATAAACTTAAAAAAATTGTCCAAAGAGTATTTCCTTATTCCGACACCTATTTGCAACCCCCGTGATACATGCTTTACTTCTCCAGCACTTTCCATTTTCCCTTTTTCCTTTGGCAGATAGCTCCCATAATTTAGACATGGTCATTTGAAAAGAACGTGGGCTTTGGAATTCAGCATCAGTTCTAACCCTAATTCTGCTACTTACCAACTGTGTGGCTTTGGGAGAGTAATAAAACCTCTCAGAACCTCAGTTTTCTCATCTATAAAATGAGGGTAAAGGCACTACCTCTTCTGCAGGGTTATTGTGAGACTTGCTTTAGCTAAGTACATCCATGAAATGTTAAAGACCTCACAAGTTGGTTTCTTTTCCCACTTCATTGAGAATAAGCAGCTCAAGAAACTGTATCCAAATGATGGCTCCTAAATAGGAAAGGAGTACTAGGGAATGCTGGTCTTCATTCACAAATCCAAGCTTTCTCTCCTTAAAGTCCAGTCATAGTTAAAGATAACTTTGATGTACCACAAGCAAAAAAAAATGTTCACAGGAGACTAGAGACTATGTCTGAGTTGTAAATTAACTACAAAGAAGGAAATCAAGACTCATTTTCAAAAGATGTGGAAAATATGCTAATATTAGGATGACTGCAAGATGGACTAAAATGTCAAGGTGAAGCAAGAAGAAAAAGGAAACAACCTAAGGAAAGTGCTGTACATGAGAAATTGTTTGCATTGCTTTCTAAAATTTGAAATCACCTCTGAAATGTATTTTCTACAATTCTTCCCAGGGAGAGCCTTTTGTTGTTATTGTTTGTTGTTGTTGTTTGAGTAGATTAAATCACTTTGTGTGACTAATGTGTTTTTATAACACTGTTGGTTGCTATGGTAACCTGACTGTGTAGGATAAAAGAAAAGCATGCATCTTTTCCCTAGGTTGTTATATGACTTCCAGCAGAATTTGGAATATTTCTCAGTGTACTGCAGGCAACACAGTGGTTGACTACTGACTGCAGTGGTTGTTTTGTGTTTTCCTCTGCAGTGTTCTCTTGCAAGATGGCTGAGGACAGGCTGAGTCATCTGAGATTCAGGGAGAGATAGAAAACATGGTGTCAACATCAGTCCAGAAACCATGGTAATGATCACATTGAGGCTTAATAGAGCATCTGGGATGGAGGTGGGAAGAAAAGCAGCCTGAAAAGAACAGCTCTTGGGCAGAAAGGTTCACAGTGTTACCTACTGTGGAGCCCTGATGTGAAAATCAACAGAACTGGCCTCTCAGCATGGTTCAAATCCTTCCTCCTTCTGTGACCTGGAACAAGTTTCCTAATGTCTCTGAGCCTCATTTTCTTCTAAAATTATTTCCAAGATTGCTTCTCCAGACCTAATTGTCTATGATGGTAGGATCCTGATCAAGGAAGTACTTTACTTTTTAAAGACTGAGACTGAGTACAGAAGACAATGTTTAACTCAATGAATAGCTAATAGTAGAATTTCACATAGTAGTAGAGGAAACATTAAGTTTATACAAGTAGACCATCATCTAACGGTGTCTGAGAAATGCTTGAGAAGTCCCTTATCTAAGGCCCTCGCTGTCACTTAGATCAGGCATCAGTTATGGAAAAGAATTATCTCTATAAATACATTTGGAAAGGTAGAAATGGCATCATACTATTCATTGGAGCTCCTAAACTGTGTGTTTCTTAATGACTTCTGACCAAAGGCCAAGAGCGTCAAAGGTACAATCTTCAACATAGTAGGAGCTCATTCTAGGTAACTGCTATATCGTATACTGAAAGGCCTATTCATTTTATTTAACAAATCTTTAGGGAATGTTCATTATGTGCTGTCTTATTTGTTTATTAGCACTTTCTGGAAAAGAGAGAGAGAGAGCTATAGTGGACAAGGGAAGAGAGTTGCCTAAGCAGTGATTCTCAAAACTTGATTGGTATGAGAAGCACTGAGAGTCAATGCTGGGAGAGCAAACTCTTGGCTCCATTGCCCAAAAGATTCTGATTCAGTGCACATAAAGTCAAGCACTTGAATCAGCATTTTTAAAAAGTTGATTCAGTTACAGGTGGTCCCTGGCCATACTGAGAAACATTTCACAAGACAATAACAGGATGTGGAGGTCAAGAATGAGAAACCTTGTGTGGAAACCAAACAGGCTGAGGGTACAATTGGTTAACCAAGAACCACAGAGGGCTCAGTGGGCCAGGCCTGCCAGCTGATGGTAACACAGAGCCACAGGTATGTTTTCCTTGCATCTATGAAACAGTCCATTTGGAAGCTATGGAGGAAAGCTCTATTAGCCATGGAACAGATCTAAATGGCTGGAAGAGGCACGGTTCACAACATTGGAGTTGCTGTGGCAACTGCAATGGGTGGCAGAGTTGAGCTGAGGAAGCTGTGGGAAAGAAAGAGGAGGTGAAGAACCTGTGCTTAAGATAGTGCTGTGTGATTTATCAAAGACTGCTCTGTCTATGGTAGCCACTCTATAACTCAAACAGCTGTGAAGAAATCAAAGGGCAGAGACTGGTTCTTCCAAAAATGGCTTACAGGTCATGGGATGATAGCTAGCTCATGAAGCATTATTTGCCCTTTTGGATTTTTTCATTTTGTTCCCAGTATTTCTAATATTGGAGAAGCCACCTAATGCTGAATGAATCAATCAAAAGCAAACTCAAACACAATACTCAAATATAAGGAAAATAACAACTTCAGAAAATGACCACCACAGATTTTATTTAATTAAAAATATTATACATGTTGTTGCATTTTCATGGAAAATATTGAGTTTAAAAACACCAACAGTGTTAGCTTTCAGAAACCTTAATGCACCCTGTTATGCTACCTGCTTCTTTTTTCTGTTTGTGGTGTTAACCATGTGTAAGGAATTGGGGTCCCATGTAACTAGAGCTTCCTTGAAGTTCACACCCATAGGATTGTGGGAATGAACCATTCTCTCCACAGTGGTGTTCTATCAAGTTAACTCGATTATCACTAGCTTTGGTTTCCTTGCAAACCATTAAAAGGAGCTAGCATAAAAGCCCAAAGCACATGTCAACACCAATTCAGCCCAACATGTCTACAAGAATCTGCTATGACCTCATCCAGTTTCCAAGCCAGTTAGCAGGTGAGTTTATATTCTACCTGGTGTATTAGTGTCCTGAGCCCTTCACCCAACGTCCCCTGAACCCATGGTGGGAAGACACTGCCATATAGTGTTTATATTCAAACTATCAGCAAGTACACAACAGCACATGTGGCCCCATGCACAATACTATCAAATAAAAAATACATATTGGTACAATACAACCCTTGGAATCACCGGCTAAAATATAGCCATGTGAGTATTTTTAAACTAGTCATTTGATTATACACTTGTTAAGAAAAGTAACACAGCATAAAAATTTAACTTGAAAACATCATTTCAGCTACAAACTTCTCATGTGTAAATACAAGGTGTATATAATATCACCCGCACCCTTACTACCTTCCTTTGCTTTACCAGGACTGTACCATCCCCTAACTTATTTCCTTGGTTCCACATCATAATGCTGCATCTGCATATTGCTCCCAAGTAATGTTTTTACTAAAATTGGATCTGATGTGACAGAAACTTCCTGGCTCTGTTTTTCTGCTCCTTTCCTTTAAACTGTAGTACACTTAATTTGGGTTCTGCATCCAGCTTTACATCAAAGAGAGATTAGTCTCCCCCAAAGTACACAAACAAATGAAAATAACTGGATAGCAAAAAGATAGAATTGCCTCTGCTCTTAGAAATTAGAAAACGGTCTTTCTTCTTTATAGTCTCTCAATTGATGGGAATAAAATAAGGCTGAAATTGCTTCTCACATTCTGGCTCAGTTGGGGGCATTTTCACATAGACCCCTGTAGTAAGAGGGCTTCTTTTCTTTATCTGCCAAACACAAAAGAGAAACAGTAATTATTATTGAGGAGTACAGAAGCCACTTCTAACTATAATAGGACTCAACAACTATTGGGTCCCGCCCCTACTGAAAACTGGGTGTTCAAAACATACAGAATTATAAGCCCCAGGAGATTTTCTTGATTTTAGCTATTAAAATTCATTTCTGATAAATAACTCTGTGCTATAGATGTAAAATAACAATCATTTCCCCTGACTGGAAGATAGAAGGAAGAGTCTTTGGGAAAGCTTCAGAAAAAAAAAAAACACCCCAAATGCTTATGGTAAGTGACTAGATGTTGTCCTTGGAACAGATGAGGGTGATAATAAACTTTAGTTATCCTGTTTGAGAGTTGTATTTCTCATCTCCACTCCTCATATACTCTTTATCACTCTTTCTCTGTCCACATCAGTTCCCAGTTTTTATCACCTCCATAAATTGATGTCTGGCATACTAGTCAGTGTGGCAGTTTGTAGCAAATGAGATGCAAAGAAGCTACAGCAACAGAACAGGTTCTTGGGGTGGGGAGAAGGAAGCAGGGAGAAAGGAAGGCAGAGAGAGAAAGAGCACTGGGGTGGGAGAGAAGGAGGAGGCGGGGGAGAGGGAGGAAAGAGAGGAAGTTTATGATAAAACCAGCCTTAAGCAGAGTTAGCTGAAAAACACTTTCAGAAGGAAATCTTAATAGGAGGCCAGATCCCATACCTCCTCCTCTTCTGCCAACAGCTGTAATAAGTGAAAACTGAGGTTCTCTTTTACTGGGTTGGAGGGGAGGTCAAAAGTTCCCAGTAAAACCAACTGGGTACTTTCAGGATAACAGGGAGCCCTGAACAGGTATTTTGTGGATAATTACAGTGTAGACAGGGAAGACACAAGTTGGGTAGCACTGAGAGGTGGCTTCCTGGTGAAATAGAGAGACATTAAGGGAGAGAATAAAATTTACCCAGCTGCATGGTCTTCCCTAGCAGCATTTTGCCCAACCTAATCTTGAATTTCAGTGTTGTTAACCTAAGCACAATTGTCATGAAGAGAAAGAGCAAAACAGCTGCCCCATGTTGTTCAAACGGTTACTCAAACTGAAACCCTGGTCAGAAGCACACAAATATTCGATGTCAAACACATTCATCTAAAATACCAGTCATCCTGAAACCTCAAAGGCCAATGCCATGGGTTCTAGTGTGTTCTTTACCACTGTCCTTCCCCTTCCTCATTTATTGCTTCATCTCAAGAAAACTAAACTCAAAAGCGTCATCTGGTCACTTGTCATCACTAAAGGTATCCCCACCGAAAATGGTGCATTGTCAGCATCCCACTCACCATTTTGCTCAAAGAAACAGCTGTGATGAGGAAGCTGTAAAAAAACAACCCCGAACTAACTGCTGCAAGGATCCAGAGGAGGAAATCAGAATCGGGGCATGGTTCTGGATCTGCAACAGAAAACAAAGCAGAGCCCACCTGAGACACTCTAAACTTTAAGGCCCTACTTCCCCATTGATGAAAAATGAAGAAATTTGAGCTTCCAGGCCTTAATAATATTTCTAGCCCACAGATAAGTCCTACTATTTGGTGCTACTTCCCCAGTAGTGTCATATCAAAGGCATGAGGGCAACCTTAATGATGGTTATCATTCCAGAGCAAGTTCCCCACACTGTCAATAGAAAAATGACCTTCTCCAACCCATTTTCTTTTATAGTCAGAATGCTGTGTGAATTGCCACCCACACTTAAAAAAATGGCTACCATATGGTATGCCAGAGAACTCTTAAAGAGAATTTTCACAATCTTAAAGATGAACCACCTGACATTAAGGAGCAAAACTATTTTCATGCTAAGAAGACAGTAGTACAAAAGGTGTCAGTTTAGTGATATGACTTTGCTCACCAATGACATAAATCTGCGTTCCATTGCCCATGCCCACATAGTAGGGAGGTGGGTACATGAGCTCCACCTTGCAAATGTAGAGCCCCGTGTCCATGGCCCTCAGTCCTTGGATGGTGAGGTTCACTTTGTTTCCACTGGAAGTACCAATGCAGGTGGAATCATCCAGGAAGGTCAACTCATTCTCCACGACGTACGTTGTGGCGCAGACTTCAATCATCTGGCTGCCAATCTGCCGCAACACTGTCACCCGGACCTCTTCGGCTTTTCCCAAAGACGCATACTCACATGCAAAGTTGGCAACACCCTGGCTGCTGGCCAGTACCACTGCAGGCTGGGCCACATGCATCCCTGTCATGGAAAAACCGAAGGAGGCTCAGTAACTCATGCTCACACACCATCAGGCCCCAGCAAAAATCAGAGAGGGTTTATCTTTGATGGGCATCCTCCAACATTACTTTTCAGTTTTTCTCTTCCCTTTAAACAAGTCCCTCACTCTCCCATCCCTTCCCTTCACCACCCATTACAGCTTTCCCTCCACCTCTCAGCTATCTCCCAGCTACTCTCTATAAAGGTGTTTTCTTACTGGAAAATAGTTTCTTGAAGGCAGTTGGTTGTAGCAGAAAGATCATCGACGTGACACACAGAAGCCCTGACTCTACCATGAAATGTACGATTTGTCACTCTTGTCCTGTGGACTTCATTTTCTCTGACATGTAGGAAAAGGGGATTAGATCAGATAATATCAGGGTGCCTTCCAACTCTGGTATTCTAAGGTTATAATACAACTAAAGGAACTATAGTTCAGGAACTATGAGTAGTAGAGGACACTTTGGAGGCTAAGGTACAGATTGTTGCCATATATTTCAAAGCATATCTCAGAAACTTTTGCCCACATTTTCCTGGCCTTATACCTCCATTACCCACAAGTAGCTGCATGGTGGCTTACTGCACCAGCCACCCCCTTCCCTGGCATTATTATCTTAGAGTGAGGGATGCTGCTAGATGAACAAAGCCACAAAGCAGAGGGCACCGGGTCGTTTCCTCTCCAGGCTGAGGCATCCCTGCTGTTAACTTCTGTGGGCTTCCCCTGCCACTGCCACTGCCACCACGTCTTCCGCTGCCCTCTCTCCTCACTTGAACACCCTCACAGGGTGTTCTTTTTCCCTCTAGTTTCTACAGAATAAGAAAGGTTAGTGCTCCATTCAAAAGAGGTTCACATCATCTAAAATATGGTGCCTTCATGCCAAATTATCTTCCTTCACCTAACTCCTCTCCAGTCAATTATACAAGTGACACCCCAAATTTGGACTGAACCATGTCACTCATTCAGCTCAAACTTTTTGATGTCTACATAACACTTACTGCAAAAACAAATCATGTAAATAACATTCAATATCCTTAATGATCCACTCCTAACCTATCAGTCTAGCCTGAGATTCCAGGACACCTCTCCTTATATATAAATTACTCTATACTGAAGGTGCTAGTCCTTTTCCCCAGGAACCTGTACTTGACAGCATCTGTCCTCAGATGAGACAACAATAGGATAACTGCCATTGCCATAGTTAATCCAGTAGCCCCGGTTAGACAATAATCTCCTTCAATCTTCATCTGTGTCTATCAGAGATGCCCTCTGGACATCCTCTGCATTGCTATAACTTGATTACAGTACTTAATCAAGTTCTGCCCTGTATTAAGCCTTTTTGTCCACTAATAATGCCTCCTCTAGTGTATGCCTTTGGCTGATAAACACTTGGGAGCAGCCATTATGTCCTTCCCAAACTGACACTGAAAAATTATTATTGTGTTGACTTGAAGCTTAAAGAAGACCAAGTTTCCTGCCCCACCCCAGACAAGCTCCCAATTATCTCTACTAAATCTGGTCATGTTCAGTTTCCCAGTATTCACCATAGGAGGATTTATAGGTTGAGTTAAATGCCTTAAAAAGGAAATTTGAACACTTCTAAGACTATTTAATCTTTAATGTTCAAAACATGTGAAATAATAAAAGGTATATGAATATTTCTTATCCAGTAAAAATTAAATCATTAAACATCTTTTGACTTTATATAAACTATATGATTCTTAGCAAGAAGTTCAAGAGAGAGATAAGTTTGAAATTCAGTGCGAATACTTATCATTTTACACTATGTAACAAACCTGGTATCGGCAGCTAAAGAGGTTTATTTTACCTGAAAACTGGAGAATCCACAGATAGATCAGGCAGCAATTAAGTATCTTATGCCAGACTTATCGCTTTCTTTCTTCCTTTTCTTTGTTTTACAATTTCAGACTGCTTTCATTTTTTAAATAATTAGCTAACTAGTTTATAGAGTCGGTTAAGAAGATCTTAAAATTGAGTAAAGACTTAAATGTTAAACAAGTTGGCTCATTAGTTTATAAAATTGAATTGGAGGACCTTAAAACCTTGAATTGGACAGAGAAGAAACTTTCCATGATTTGCTTCAATTAATATCCTTTTAAAAAGAAAAACCTTGAACTTGCCCTGATTCCAAGCTGAGATGTATTCAGAACTGCATATATCTTTTCTCTCTTAAGTCCCCTAACTTTACGGCATTTTCTTTCAGTCATATAGAAGTGTCTAAAACTGCTTGTGTCTCCCAAACCAACTCACATGTATTCATTAAGCCTCTACTCAACGCCTGACACTCTGCTATGAGTTGTATCTCTGCTTATTTGCTGCTGCCAGCCGTGCCCTGCCTGCCTTGGGAAACAGAGCTCTCCAAGCCTGGAGATTGGAGTTTTACCTTTAGCTTCTGGCTTTGCTAGAAATCACTGCCCTTGACTGCTGAAAGAAATGAAACCCAGGTGGGAGAAACACCTCCTCCACCTTCATGTTCCAAAAGCCTCACTCACCTCTGGAGAAGACAGGGATGAAAAGAAGAGAAAACAGGGCAGTGCAGGGCCAGGTCCCACAAGGCAGGTCCAGCCGAGCCTCATGCCTCCGGAATCCAAAGCAAGCCATGGCGTTATGGGAGCAGTGTTCAGGTCTTCAGGAAGCAGAGTGAAACCTTTCAAGATCCTGAAGCTTTGAAATGTGTTTGAACCCACACAGAATCAAGGACTTTATATAGCTGGCTTTTATCCCAGCTATATACACTCAGTATATGTAGAAGGCACCTGAATAGAAAGCCTTTTTGTTTTGGTTTTACGAGAAAGGAAGCCGTGGGTTTAGCTGTTACGTCGAAATGATAACCTCAAACACTCAAACTAAAACTGAACAAAACAAGACCAATCCAAGAATGGAAAATGAGCTCAATTTGAAACTGAAGCCTTTTCTGCATTTTGAGGATAACTAAGTGGAGACTTGGAAAATTTCCTGGAGTGCAGGAGCCCCCCTAGATCCCAACTTTATCCAATTGTCTAGGCATCTTTTAGCATTCTGTGCATTTCATTGACACCCCCAAACCACTAAGCTGCTGGCTCTGTGAGTCCTTGAACTAATGATGGAATTAATCTGTAGACATAATTAATAAAAGCTCTGCATTCTACCTGTGAGGCACCATCCCTGGCATACTTTACAAATAAGAGTTTTAATTTCTCCAAGCTCCACTTAACATTTCTCTGGAAGAAAATACCAAAATCACAAAACATGAACTGATCTGCCTCTGGTTTTACAGATTAGGAAAGAATTCAGGTGCTCTTGAAAACCTTAACAAAGAGAAACTCGAGTTTGGAGAAGATCCAAAAACTATCAACCAAAATTTTCTAAGAAATTCAAACCTTTCATAAGAGGATAAACATTGTTTTAATAGTACTTTTTCAAGCAGAAAATCCAAAAACTAAGGTTAAATATGACTGAAGTTCTTACATTTATGAAAATTTTAGACAGGGCAAATGTTCATCATATAAGAGAATACTAAGCACTGAGGACCATTCTTTAACACTGGAGAGTTTTCACATATTTCAATGATGAAAAAGTATTTATTGAGAACCCATGGTATTCCAGGCATTGTGTAAACTTAAGAGAAAAACAGAGATAATGCTTTAAGACTTCTAGAAGGCTGGCATGCTAACAGACAGTTACAACATGGAATACAGTGTTTGCCTGCCCCAGTGCTCCACGACTTCCTGTTGTCCACACACCTCAGCACAGTGGAGGAGGCTCTATCAAACATGCCCCAAATGCCTTTCTTTGTAGCCTGTCTTCCAGCACTCCCTCGCATGGCTCCTTCTTCTGTTTGTCATTTCTCCAACACACCTCTTTCAGGTCTAATCACTGCCTTTTTTTCCTCCTATTATCTTGTGTTATCCTCCTTCTCATCCTCCATAACTTAACCAACATTATCAGCTCCTCCAAAAAACCTCCCCTGACCTGCCTTTTTTTTCTATATTCCCTTATCATCTTATATAAGCCATCAAACCCCAGCTGAAATGCCAGGAGGCAATAACAACCTTATGGGAACTCATGAAGGGCCAGATCGCAGACTGGGCACTGGACAAACAAAAGTGGAAAATGTATATTCCTGCCCTTCTGGGGAGCCCACAGTGCAGGAGAGGAAGACAGGTAACCCCATGACTAGGAAAGAGTGAAACTGAAGTATTGTACAAGCTGTAGAGGAGCCATTGGATCAGTCTGTGGAGGCCAGAAAGGGTTTCTTGGAGAAAGTAAAACCTGAGCTTATCATGAAAGACAGTGGCAAGGGATGGGTATTCAGGCAGAAAGAACAGCATGTGCTAAGGTTGAGAATAGCATAAAGCATTTATTATGGTCAGTGGAAAAGGCCAGTGAGGGGAACAGCCATAGGTGAAAGCTGATGTTTTTAGGAGTGAGGGCCAATGAACCATAAGGAGCAAATTGGCATAACTGAATTCACATTTTGGGGAAATTTCCTCTCACACAGGAAGAAAGCTGGGGAGGGTGGGTTCAGAGAGGAATAAGATGTAACTGGGGAAACCAGGAAGGAAACTAATGAAATACTCCAGGCAATAAGGACTTGGCAAACTTTTTCTGTAAAGGGCCAGAGAGTAAATACATTAGCCTTTGCAGGCCCTGTGATCTGTTCTCACTCCCTAACCCTGCTTTTGTAGGGTGAAGGCAGCTACAGAACATACATAAATGAATGAGTATGGTTGTATTTAAAAAATTATTTATGAGGTCAATTATACCTCAATTTAAAAAAAAACATAATTTATACAAACAGGTGGAGGCTGGATTTGGCCTGTGGGCCACGGTCTGCCAACTCATGGTCTAAACTAAGGTGATGACAGCAGTGGCAACAAGGTCCATAATCAACAAGCAGTGAGTGGATGGAGGAATTTAGGATGACACTGGATTTATGGCTTGGGAGGTGCTGTGTTGCTCCTAGGAATTGTTCAAGTATTCGTCAAGTTTTATCTCATTCAAGTCTTGAAACTACTCTACAAGACAGGAATTGTTGTTTTTCTTAATTTATAAAGGAGGAAACCAAGGCACTGAGAGTCCATAAGACTTAGAAAATCCTCCATAGTCGATGGCAGAGCCAGGATTTGAAGTCAGCAAAGATGTTAATTGCTAAGCAAAGACTTTGAAGTCAAGAGAAGTGAATTTGAATCCTAGCATAAGTGAATTTGAATTGCTAGCTGTTGATCTAGGATGAGAACCCAATGTCCTCCAGAAAATGGTGCCTCCTTCTCAAGGCTATTGCAAGGACTAAATGAGATAATGCATGTAACATGCATAAGAGACATATTACGGCACCTGGCCACTCAATAAATAGGAGTCCTTTTTATTATAGAGTCACTGAGAAAACAGAGGTGCAATTTACTGGACTAGAAAACATAATAAGAATAGACTGAAGGTGATGAGTACAATTTGGCCACTCATGTTTAAGGTATCCATAAATGATATGGTGAAGAGACACAAAAGCAGTTGCCAATATGTATCTGGAGCACAGGATATAAATCCGACCTAAAGACACTCGTTTAGGCAACCATAAAGCCACTGATGAAAATTTCACAAGGCCAAGACACATAATGAGCACTCTATAAACATTTCATAAATGAAGGGATAAATGAATAAAAACCATTTAATATAAAAAGAAATGAGGCTTGTAACAGGACCTTACAAAAAAGTCTTGTGAGGTCCTCTAATTATACTTTTATGAAACTATATCTGCCATAGCAAGAAAATTCAATGGTTATAAAAGCCACTAGGTGAAAGAATGTTGGTAAAAAAGACATATTCATACATATTATCCCATAGATTATGTGGTAATTACAAAGGGGAAAGGTAATGGATAAATCTAGCAGCTACTGCCTTAACCAAGTAATCAAAGTGAAGATCACCCATGGTTAGACATTCTGACATCATGTGCCTCCAGGTACACTGAGAAGGAAACACAGTGTGATTGCCAAAGTTGTTCAAATTAAATCCAATCGTGAAAAAATAATTAGACAAATCCAAATTGGGATCTTTCTGCAAATTAAAGAAAAATGACCATCAAAACTGGACTTTGATTCCTTGAAAATGTTAATATTATGAAAGGTTAAAAAACCTTGAAAAACTTTTTTAGTTTAAAAGAGATTAAGGAGACATGACAACAAAATCCAATGTGTGATCCTTGACTGAGAAAAAATAAAACAACTGCAAAGCACATTATTGAGACACTTGGGGAAATTTGAATTAGATGACAATTGATAATAACATTGTGTTAATGTTAAATTTCTTGAGTATGATCATTGTATTGGAGTTATGTAGAGGGACAATTTTTTAGGCGATATTTATTTAAGTATTTATGAATGAAGTCTCAGGGTGTTGGCAAATAACTCTCAAATGGTTAAGCAAAAATGTGTGGTTAAGCAAAAAAAATGTGTATATATATATGTTAGCAGAGAGAAATAGTAATATGATGATAACAATTGGTGAATCTAGGTAAAGCTTATAACTGTGTGTTTGTGGTACTGTTCTTACAAATTCTTTGTAAAACTGAAGTTTTTCAAAAGAGAAAGTGGAAAGTAAAAATTGTAAGGCCACTATTAACATAACAGGCATTGATAAACTGAAATTTAGAGGAAGGAAGTGACTTGCTCAAAGTTATTCTTCATTCTCCTTCTTCACATCCGTTCTCCACCTGGGAGACAGACCCTGGCAGGTTGGCTTTGGGGAGGGATCAGCTGATAGGAGGCACCAGAATGCACAAGGATGGAGGTCAAGGTATTTCTTCCCTGCTCTCTCCCAAATTCAGAGACAGGGCCCTGTCTCTGGCAGTAACAGAAACTGTGCACAATGATAGCTCTTGTCAGGTAGCTCTGAATCCCCTTCTATGATGCCAGTCCTCATCATTTGTTCCTCTGACCCTTTCAGTCCTGGGAATGGCATCAGCTTCCACCATTGCTAACACCTGACTACACTAACATTTTCTGCCCCTTACCCTCTTTAAAATCTCTCAAAATAGAGTCCTTTCACTGAGTCTCTTATTTGAACCCTATGTGTCTTGTGGAGTCCCTGATTGATCCAGACATGTGTACAACTGGTAAATGGCAAAAACCAAATTTAACTCCTGGTCTCATTCCCACCCAGTACTTATTTTTTCCCTATTACCTCATGTGCAATAACGTGTTATATCATACTGGAGTATTGATTACAGTCAATTGTGTGAAATTCTGTCTCCCCTGTTTTAGATTTTATTTTCATGACACACCTTCACCTCACACATAGCATTTAACTAGGTCTCCATTCTTTTTATTTTTCTTGCATCTCCTTTGCAGCTCTGGGGAAAGTGCTAGTAAGTAAGGATTCAATGAGAGGACAGAGAGACACTAGAGAGCCCAGCATAGTGGTGAAAAATATTACTGGGGTCAGACAGACATGAGTTCAAGTCCTGGATCTGCTGCTTACTAGATGTGTGCTCTGGGATGAGGGTTTTGAACTTCTCTTATCCTCAGTTTCCTCATCTGTAAAATATGGCTATGGTAAATATTTTATAGGGTTATTGTAATGATTCAGTGAGACTATATCAATAAAATTTTGAAAACTATGCCTAGAATATAGTATGTTCTCTATAAAGTGTTAGCTTATATAATAAATACAGAAGAAAGAACTATGGGTTTCAAACTTCAA